ATATTTTTCTCCCAGATATACAAAACATTTCGTTTCATTTTAATACAAGTAATTTTTAAATATTATCTTCCGAATACATTATAAACGTTTTAAAAATGTCTAAAATCAAAATCGCACGTTTTGCTCCCACAATGAAATAGTGGAACGAAAATATAACAATAATTTCTCGTGTTTTTTGATACCAAATGAAGTGTTCGATAATAGTCGTGAAGTAAAAGATGTATTTTTATTATGCTCACGAGTTAAAATATATAATTTCTCCATATGTTTATAAATTATGGAAACTAAATATGTCATTGAGATTTTCAAGAAATATTTCAAATATCTTGGAATCAAATCGACAAGAAATCTTTAAAAATCAGTCGCTTGAGATATTTAGCAAAGATTAGGAAAAAATGTTTAGAAATTATTCCGTGCTCCTAGAGATGGACTATTACACATTTTGGAATACCCTGTAAACCCCAAGTACTGGATATCGCGTTAGTAGTTTTACAATCCACTTCATTACATGTAATTGTAAGCGAAAGAGAAAGTACATTACGGGGTACTTAACTTAAATGAAGGTTTTCCACAGTAACTGACCGCCCGAGTAATGAACAATTCTCTTTTCTAGTGCAGTAAAAGTATCCTCGTTCCCCTTGCTCTTTTCTCCGACATTTTTTTACTCGTTAGCCTTCTAGTGTCCCACAAGGAGGAAATCCGGAGCCCCACGTGATTTCCAACCGAGGAAGAGAATCTCCCTTGTGGATTAGTACCTGACATTGATGGATGATCGATTTATCCCTAACTTAAGTCGCGATGCCCAGATACGTGTCGAATGTTTGCAATAAATATCCTTTTAAGATTTAAAGGTACAACATGCTTCGATTTGATGGTAACTTCTTACAAGGTAACTCCAGGAGAGATGAGTAAAACTCCAGAAATCCCCTGCAGTCATGGTTTCTGAGGCCCTAATTGACTGCAGAGGGACCCCCTGCGCCATCTGTGATTTCTGTGTCAACTAAATTGTCACTCTGAGACCTCATATTCCCATCGTTTTAGCATAGCAGCGCCGAAGACCCTTTTTTTTGCTCTTTATCCCGTTAAAATGCGAGTTTCTCGATTACCAGAGTGTTCTAAATTGTCATACAATTGTCCTGACCCTTCCGTTCCTCATATTAAAGCCTTTAATAATTGTATATCGATCGAAATATGTGAGCTCAACGTCATTTTCGTTTTAGTCTAAGTTACAACAATTTTTTCAAAAACCAAAATTTTGAAAGTATCAGGATAATTCCTAGGTGCTCACGAGTCATGTGTCACCATTTCAGGCGGATCGATGTAATATCCGTAAAATAAGGTGTCTTATTCGAATCGAATGATTTTGGGGGAGTTTAACCCCTTGCCTTACGATTTAAATTCCAATAGCGCATAAATAACAAAAGTGTCGGTCATACATCGGGTCCTTTCACGGTTTGGACAAACGTTCGAAGTCTCACACGTCTCTCATACGTTTTGTTTACGTTTGGCCCGATTGACATACCTCGTCTCTCACACGTTTTGTTCACGTTTGGCCCGATTGATATACCACGTCTCTCACACGATATTGTAAGTGAAGGGGTTAACTTCACCTTAACTGCGGAATTTCCTGTAACGTTACGGGTTACCGACGTGTATACACGTCGAACGAAGTTAACTGGTTAAAAACCAACATAAACTCTGATAAACGGAACAGATCATTGACATTCAGATAATGAGAAAAAGAACCTTTATGTAAGGCAAGCATGGTTTAACGTCTTTTCGCGGCTGTTTTCGGTACCTAAAGTTGGCCTCTCTGCGGCGAAGGATGTAGACAAACGGAAGGAAGCGGCAGCAGGACCAAAGAGCGCCTCAAAACGTCCTAGGACAATAAAGTACCCACGTTTGTATGTGCAAAAAGACGCGTAAACCACGCTTTTGTTGCAGGAAACATCGTGTGTACCACGGAGGCAAGGTCTCTTATGCTTACAATAGTCGCCTTCAGCTTGTGCGCCCGCGAACCTATTGTTATATCGCGAGGGGTGGTTGGCTTCTTCTTTCCGGCTTCCCATTTTTGGCTTGGTCACAATTTATTACTATAATGCACAATGTTCGCGAAGGGTGTCCTGTCTCAAAGGGTTCGGAAGTTGTACATAGGACTGACTACTTGGTTACGAAAAGGAATTAATACTAATTTTGATAAGCAGGCATCTAGAAGGGACGTGGACTCGTCGTTTGTGTGGTACCGGACGCAGTCGCCTTCTTCCCTTCTCACAGTGTGTTCTGCCCGGCTTATTTGTCGGGCAGTTGTATGGATCCCGATTGCGTTTGCAAACAGAATTGCAAAATAATATCTTCATTCAGCTACTCACGTGAAGAGGAAATGTACCCAAAATGAAGAGCATGTGAAAGAGTCAGCCTATGTATGTATATCTGAGAAGTCAAATCGTCGGAGAAAGTATTCTCCGAATTGTGGGTACCGATTCGTTTCAAATTTTACCACGGGAATATAGAGACCCTAAAGTAGGTCCTGAAACTCATGAAATTTTATTTTTCATACGAAATTGATTTACTTATCATGGGCTAGAAGCGACATGGCGTAGTCCGGGCACGTTTTCGATGTTTTTCTCTTCTTGGAGGCGCAGAATCGAAAATGAAGAGTTTCAGGACCTAGCTCGAACAATTTAGAATACCGTAGAAATGGAATATTCAAGAGTCAGATGGGAAAACGTGGTAAATACTTTCGCCAACGATTGTCTTACGGCTAACGCGTGTTTTTAATGCAAAAATTTAATTGCAGCTAAACGTCACAGATGGCGACGTTGTTCGTTAAAATTTAACAGTCATGAATTCATGGGATTTCGGCAGTTTTACATCGATCTTTTTATCATTACTTTACCGAAATGACATATAGAATCCTTTAATTCGTATAATTCTCTTCGTAGACTGTAAAAAACCGACATAAATATAAATGTCGGTAATGGAACGCGCCAGCTTATGTTCCCACTTGAGTATTCAAAACGGCATTCCCATCAAAAAGGGTATAGATGAATTGTACTTTATCGACGTTAATTAAATTTCTTAACGCGTTTCATGTCCTCTGAAGTGAGACTTATCTTGAACAAAACTAAACTTTGAATTTATTATAACATTAATTTCGACGAGTGATGAACCAGTAGTGGCTGGATAATGGAAAAACTGTGTCAGATGATTAGTAGTAAAAACTAGTAAAAACTTTGTTATCATTCCATATCTAATTAAATCTTTGAGGACAGCCAAGGTGCGGGATTTGCAAACTGTTTGGATTCGAGGATAGTAACTGTCCACGATCCGTGCTTGGACATTAGTTGTGACCCAACTATTACACATAAATGCGCAATTATTAACATCTTTGCCAGCAATTCATGACCGAGCAAAGATTAGTTGCCTAGACCGATGATGTACAATAATGGGCTGAAGTTGCGCCATGTCTCAATTATTGTTTGAATAGCTTGAAAGTCATCCATTTTTCGAATTTCCGCTAATAGAAACTTTCAACTAATACGCCATGATCTATAATATAGGGGCAAGTTGTCTTACGGGGTAAATTGACCAATGTTTAATACAGTTTTTGATTTTTACTTAACATCGTTCTTCATTTTATCATATATTCCTAATTCGGTCCCACGCATTTGCTGAACTCAACATAATTTATTGCAGCAACGTTTATTTATAAAAAAAATTAAAATACAAAAACTATGATGTGAAGTAAATTTTTCAGTTCTCAATCCTCTCTTTTTTGGTACAGTGTATCGTTTTTTATCATTTTAAAAATATGGCATATAAAAAGAGCATCTATTTAGCTTTGCACCGCTGTGTATATATTTTTAAATAAAATTGTTTACCATTTGTTAATATGCTTTTGATTGTTAAAATGACGTGCGGGACAAATTGACTTACAAGCAAGGCAAGTTGCCCGACAAGCTCTTGGAGTCGCGCTAATTGTTAGTTCATCTGTCATCGTCTGTGCTTTGAGTATATTTCAAATAATTATTTATTAGTTTGCTTATAATAATAAGCTAAGCTTGGTGTGCTCTAAATTTATTGAAAAATACATTAAAACGTCTAATGTACAGTCCAAAGCTGAGCCGAAGCAAACACTCAAATAACAATCTAAAGATGTGTGTGTAAAAAAACACTGAAAAATGGAAACGAGATGCGAGGACGAAACTAACAATTAGACATTCCGTTTAATGTGCGGTGAATCTTATTCTTTGAATTTTCAGGAAGAAATCTGGTAAAATTCATTCAATGTGGTCAGGGACGACATGAAAAATACGTCAATACAGACAAAGACCAGATCTTGTGAATTTTTTGTGATTAGTAGGTCTCCTAAAAGTTTCCGATTAGTACCAATTTAACATTTCTGGCACATTTGTGATTTTAACAAGTACTAATCAGTGTAAGAACATTTTATATTGCTTAAGCAAGTCATTAAGTGGTAAGAGAGAGTTAAAGCATCAGAAATATTAATTATAAAGTACAAAAAGATTAATTGTTGCATATTTATAAACGTACATTTTGTTACCGTTAACAATGAAAACAATATTTCTAATCTTGCAACTTATTATTTTCAATTGTGTACAAATTTGGCGTGGCCCCGTACCCGGGGCAAGTTGACCAACGGCGCCGGCGTGCTTAATAACCTTTTCTTTAATTATTTGCAAAAGATTAAAGAATCTTGGACTGCAATTATTGCGCGTGAATATATGCTCTACATTTCGATGTACATGTTCGAAAATTGTCAGCATCCCCCTCACAATTCAGCAATCCCGAAAACGTTGGTCAATTTGCCTCGGTCTCCCCTACGTCCCGACCAACCAAATTCAGGAAAACCCAGGCACCATATTACGTCGTTTCCTAAAAGCAGAACGCGAATGTGTCCGACATCCTCCGGTATCTTGGCCCCAGGAAGGATCCCCACATGCGGATTAGCAATTGACTTTGACGGACGATCTACTTACCCCTGACTAAGGTGAGGATGCCCAGAGGCATGACCAAGACGGCGACCATCAAGTCGGTGATGGCGAGGCTCATGAGAAAGTAATTGGTAACGTTCTGCAGGCGTCTCTCCCAGACAATGGCAAGACACACCAGGATGTTCCCCGCCGCAGTGCCGATGACCAGCACCAGGGCAAACATGGCCCACCAGTTGTTCAGGACGTCCACCTCCTCTTGGTCCTCGGCGTCCTTTGTGTACAGAGTCGAAGCCTTGTACTCACTTTCGTTGAATATTCCCGTCACTGTCTCTACCAGCGAATCACCTCTGCTTGTTTCACTGACAAAGTCCCCGTAACTTTCGGAGACTACATCTATCGGGTACTCCCACATTTTAGGAATATCCGGGGAATACACCGGCACTTCCGAAAACAATTCACTTCCCATTTTTTAGGGATCACTTCTGTCCCTGCATTCGGCTAACGTTACTCCATCGTTGCTCTGCATTCACGAAGAACGGATGATGAAGTACCTTAATCACTTTTATGAAAGAAATGTGTAAGCATTGACGACGTCGCCAATGTGAGAGTTAGAAACAGATGAATCCTATGACATAAGGTACATGAAATAGGCATACTAATTGCAGTGCAACATTCATTGGATGACCACATTAAGGTGATATGAAAGTGTCACCTTGTATGTATCCGAAAGATCAAATCGTTCGTGAAAGCATTTTCCGAATTGGATGTATCGATTTGTTTTAGATTTTATCACGAGAAAATGGAGGCCCTAGGGTAGACCCTGAAATTGATAAAATTTCATTTCTTATAAAAAATGTATATATTTATCATGGACTAGAAGCAACGTGGCGTGGTCCGTGCACGTTTTTCATATTTTATGCTTTTTGAAAGCTTAGAATCGAGATGAAGAGTTTCAGGACCTACATCTAACAAGTTAGAATACCATAGAAATGGAATATTACAGAGTCAGATGGGAAAATCTGGTAAATACTTTCATCAACAATTGCGAACAAGAGTTTGTCCGGTGGGTAACGCGTGTTTTTAGATCAAAAATTTAGTTGCTGCTAAACGACACAGATGGCGCCGTTGGTTCATTAGAGGATGAAAAAGCCCGAATCCACGGAATTTTGACATTGTTACATCGATCTCTTTATCGTTACTTTACCAATATGACGTATGGAGCGCTTCATTTCATATAGGTATTCGGCCGATAATATTTAAAAAAACACATATATTAAAATGCAATGAAATGTTTTGCATATCTGTAAGTGAAAAATATTTCGGAAACACATCCGTAGTAGCATATATTAATTTCTAAATATTCCTTTGTAATCTTTGCTAAATAACTAAAGCGACAGCATTTTTAAGATTTCTTGTAGATTTCATTCGAAGATATTTGAAACATTTGTTGAAAATCTCAATGTCATATTTAGTTNTTCTGTATATCTGGTAGAAAAATATTATGAAGACACACGGAGCTACTGTTACATAAACATTATAGAGACAATATTCTAAAGTAAAAGATTTGCAAATATTACAAATGTCTACTAAATATTTACAAAATGTACGATATTCGTTAAATGTATTGAAAATATAAGAGAAATATTTCGCCTTATATTTTACATGTTACTTTTTATACAGATCAGATTAAATTCAATCGTTGTCCAGTTAACTTGTAAAATTTAGAATCAAACACTTCTATTGTACCGTCCAAGGTATGTAGTTTTTTGTCACGTAAATCCGGAATAATCTTCATTTTACGCGCGAAACCAGCTGCCGACGGTTAATTTCTCCTGCAGCAAAGTCCTGATCGAGTTCGCCTTCCCCAGCCCGAGGATTTACGACCCTCGGGGATTGATCAACAATCGCGAGTTCTTTCAGGATCGCAGAACAAATTTGATCACCGACTTTAATTAACCCTTTAAGAGGATACGAAAGTGGCTTTCAAAAGGTCAACCGTTCATGAAACTTTCCTACGACTGGGTGTACCGAATCGTTTCAAACTTTACAGCGTAAATATGGAGACTATGAGGAAGGTCCTGGCACCCATAACATTTCATTTTTTCTAACAAATTTACTTTACTTTATGGGTGTCTGGACGTTTCTGAGAGTATCCATATTCACGTTGTCAAGTTTCAAACGATTCATTACGTTCAGTTCAGAGAAAAGTTTCATAAACGAGACCTCATCACGCCCCTCACATCACCTTAAGGTGAAGTGAAACACGTCGAGCAACTTGATCAACGTCGATAAAGAAGATTTTTCTAAATGCCTACGTCGCCGACGTTCGTTTTTATATTGACAGCTAGGTCGAATTATATTGGGTATTGTACGAAATGGCATATGCCACCTGTCGTTTTCGTACAATAATTGCAAAGAAATTGAAGTAAAAACTCCAGAAATCCTCTGGATTCATGCCTTCTGGGGCCCTAATGGACTGCAGAGGGACCTCCTGCGCCATCTGTGATTTCCAGGTCAATTAAATTTTCACTCCGAGACCTCGTATTCCCATCGTTTTAGCATAGAAACGCATACAACTCTTTTTTTGCCTTTATCCCATTCAAATGCGAGTTTATCGATTACCAGAGTATTCTAAATTGTTGTAAAATTGTCCTGATCCTTTCGTTTCTCATATCAGCGCCTTCGATAATTGTATATTGATCGAAATATGAGAGCTCGACGCCATTTTGGTTCTGGTCTGGACTGAGTAAACAAATTTTTTTGTAAAATCCAAATTTTGAATGTGTCAGGACAATTCTTAGATGATCAGGAGTGACGTGTCAAAGTTTCGGACAGATTGGTCTAATACCCTTAAAAAAAAAGTGTTGTATTCGAATCGACTGATTTGAAGGATGTTTCACTTCACCTTAAGGAAACACATCTATTTGGTTGCGTTTGTTACTTAACCCCTTGCCTAACGATTTAAATTCCAATAGCGCGTGCCATACAGAACAAAAATGTCGGTCATACATCGGGCCATTTCACGGTTTGGCTGAACGTCCAAAGTCTCACACGTCTCTCATACGTTTTGTTTACGTTTGGTCCGATTGACGTACCACGTCTCTCACACATTTTGTTCACGTTTGGCCCAATTGATATACCACGTCTCTCGACGAAAATATATACGCAAATTGGATACAATTTAGTCCTTCTCCACTGTGGCATTACCTTGGCATTTCATCAGCGCTTCGTGTGGACTGAAATCCCGGGATAAGATCCCCGGGTTGAAATTTCAGCCCTATTTTGAACCTTATCCCCATCACCCTAACCACTACGATGTCGGACGTGGAGATGTACCACGAAGAGTTCAGCCATGGAGTGTTCATATTTTATATGAACACGATATTCATTTGTCGCTTTGAATGCATGGAAATGAAGGGGGCTACTATAATGGCGCTTCGTAAAAAAACGTGTTTCAGGCGCAAACCACTATAGTTTATTTTGAACCTTATCACCATCACCTCAACCACCACCGTGTCGGACGTGGGGATGTACCACGAAGAGCTTAGCCATGGAGTGTTCATATTTTATATGAACACGATATTCATTTGTCGCTTTGAATACATGGAAATGGAGGGGGCTACTATAATGGCGCTTCGTAAAAAAACGTGTTTCAGGCGGAAACCACTATAGTTTATTTTGAACCTTATAACCATCACCTCAACCACGAAGGTGTCGGACGTGGGGATGTACCACGAAGAACTCGACCATGGAGTGTTCATACTTTATATGAACACGATATTCATTTGTCGCTTTGAATACATGGAAATGGAGGGGGCTACTATAATGGCGCTTCGTAAAAAAACGTCTCTCAGGCGGAAACCACTATAGTGGCGTTTCGTAATTTAAGGGTTATGAAACGTACAAATAATTCATAATGATATAGTTTTTCCGAGAATTTCAACGTAACATAGGTTAGTTTTATGACATAACTTTAAATTGTACAGGTCCTTCGCTCACTAGACAATGCTGAAATACCGTCAGAACCGTTACGTGATTTCAGACGCGCTCGACGTGGACTTCGAGTCTTTTATTAGATTTCCTTTGCGTCTCTTGTCGGGTAATCTATTTTCAAATGTAAAGATCTCCCTTTTCCTCTGTTCCAAGAATTAAATAAAATTGTCCGTCATTGTATTCTTTACTTGTAAGAACAGTTTCCTCTCCGCCAGGAAGAAAAGGGAAAGAGAGTGAACGGATTCTTTCTCATTCTCTCACTCCTATTGTTGGATAGACTACCTTCGTATTTACGGTATTACGTAAAATGAGAGAAATAGAACCATTGAGTTGTCGGAAAAGTCATTACGCATTTTCGTAACAGATGGCACAGGAAAAGGAAATACGTAAGCACCAAAAATAAATATGTTGATGTAACTACAAGGAACGAATTGTTCCAACATTATGCACGGGTGGGAATGTTCATTAAAAAGTTTACCCTCCACAAAAAAATTCTATTCTTATGATTACGTACGTTATACTTATTTTCCTATCAGTATTAATTAGTAAAATATCATTTGATGCTCAAAAGGGAGGTTTTTCGATGATCGCTTCCCTTTTCTTCCTTCCTCGGGAAGAAGTAGGGTTGTTGGTTTTTTATCTGGTTTTCTGTGATGGTGCTGTGCAGCACCTATTTTGGCCTGCAGTATTCGTTAGGACACCTTAGCCAACTCAAACTGTCAAACTGTTTTGTGTATAATTCCTTTGTTCTGTATTTTAGTTTGTCTTCTTTATGAGTTGTAAGAGCACGAGGAGTTAGCTTCTCATGCGGTTGCTTCTTTGTGTGGTGACGCGGCGTTACTAGACACCTCTCGCGTGCTTTGTTTCTGTCTAGGTCTTAATATGTTGTTATGTTGTTTTGTTTTCAGCTTTGTTGTGTTGGGCGCAGTTGGTTTAATGCACTGGTCTTTGTTGTGTAGGCATTTCGCATAAAACGATTGTTAATTTAAGTCCCAAGTTTTTCACGAGACTCCCGGAGATCGCAATGGCGGACGTCTTGCCGCCATCGCGATTGCCGGGAGTCTCGCAAAAAACTTGTGACTTAAATTAACAGTCGTTTTATACGAAATACATACACAACAAAGCCTAAGTAGGGATGCTATAACTTAAACGTAAGGAATAGTAACTGGTCTTACATACAAACGCGTATCCTGCATCGCCTGCAAAAAGCCTGGCCATCTGGCGGTTCTGTCGAAACCAATTATGCCAAACCATTGTTCCCGCTATCACATAAACAAGTTTAGAATAACGTTGCGACGCGTAAAATGTTACTATAGTTGTGGTTACAGCTACCAGATAAACCTTCCATTTTACCGTGCTTATTGTAACATCCTCATACAGTTAACATTACCATTCCACATGTTGATCACTACTGCACCTCTTAAGGCCAAGTGAAACCCCCCTCTCAAATCAGTCGATCTGAATAAAACACTT